CCAGCCAGTGGCATGGCGGTTAAGGTGCTGGGCAATCCCACATGGCCAACCACGGTTCAAGTCTCGGACCTGGTGGCTTGCTTTCTCACTTTCTTTCTCTCTGTGCATCTGTCTTTCTCTGGTCAAAGTAAAAAATAAATGAATGAATAAATAAAATTAAATAAATAATTTTTTAAAAAAAACAGAAAGAAAGAAAAAGCATTTCTACCCTTATGGAGCATATGATCTAAAGAAAAGTCAATTTTTTTTTTAAAGAATTATTTTTTTGGTTTTAACTTTATTTATTATTATTATCATTATTATTTTCCAGTTTGATCAGAGAGACAGAGAAAGAGAGAGAGGAAGTGAGAAAGCAAGCTACCAGGTCCAAGACTTGAACCGTGGTCGGCCATGTGGGAGTCCAGCGCCTCTAACCACCATGCCACCCTCCGGCCCCAAGAGAAGTCAAATTTCATAACATAAATTATCTATGTTACTTCTAACAGGACTCATTCTACATGACTCCTTTCTTGAATGTATTCTCTCCTTCCTTATAAAACCTGTACTTAACACCTCTGCTCAGTTATTGGTGTATTTTCTTTTGTAATATAGCTATTTTCATACAACTCTAATTTCCTGTTATCTGGGTGATATTCTTGAAAGCTAGGATTATGTCTTACTTATTAGTATTTTTATATTCATGCTAATTATTGGCACATAGAAGGCTCTCAATAATTATATACTAAATTCAGCAATAGAAACAAATGCGAAATTAGGGTGAATCTCCTAGCTTAGTAGATAAAGGAGCCAGATTCCACATGGCTGACTGTGGTTTGAATCTTGGCTCTGTAGCTTGAAAAATATGCAGGGCATGTGTTTGCACATGCATATGCGCATACTGGAAATCCCAACAGGTTGGAGAAATGGAAAAGGTGTTGTGGGATGAACATGCTCCATTGGCGGGATGCTTTCTCCCTCTCTCTCCCTCTCTCTGTCTCTTTGTCTCTCTCTGCTAAGGCCATATTCCCTTTGGCAACAAGAAAAATGCAGAAGTATATCTGTGTCTTCAACATTTCGAATTGAGGAATAATTACTTCAGTGATCATACTGAATTCTTCTTATGAAGACTATTGTATAAATGAACAATGCTCTACGTAGTGACAAACTCTTGCAGGAGATCATGAGTCAAAATGTACCTACTGAGTATGCTTAACAGAGTGTTCTACTATCTTTTTGTAGTAAAGATACTCCTTGATGAACAATTAAGTAAAAAAAAATAATAATAACTTTTTAAAATATATGACTGTTTTCCTAGAAATGTTATCTCAAAAACTTGAAGTACATTCAAAATAGAGGAATCCTGTTCTATATGAGGTCATAATTTCTTCTAAGAATTACTGAGTGGGTAAAAATAGTAAAATAAGTGCCAATAGTGTGAGAGAAATGCTGGAACAATCTTATCCACCCTACAGTCTACTTTTTTTTTTAATTTAATTTAATTTTTATTAGTCTTTTTTTAAAAAACAGATTTGATCACTATACAACATTTGGCTTGTAAAGAGAATTTGCAGTCTACTTCTGAGCAACCACTTCTAACAAGTGAGATCTAGGCTTCCTCGGCCCGGCTTCTGTGTATATGAGCACATGTTTGTATTTATACCCAGATAGCTGTTCTCTTTCCACCATGGAGTCACCACCTTATTCCTCAAACTTTATTTCTCATCTCTAAAAACTGAACCAAGAATAAAGACCAGGCTATTGCAACATTAAAGTTGTGTTCAAGACAGCTTTAAAACTCATGACCAGCTAGTCATGAAACTAGTCACTCCCTGTGTGCAGTTTAAATTAAAACCAGGTAAGAAATGAGAGTCCAGGGACCAGCAGTTAGCGTAATGGCTATGTCTCTGGACTCCCATGTAGTCAACCACGGTTTGAGTCCTGGACCCAGTGACTTAAACTCACGCCAAACATGTGTGCATGCGTATTCAAGATCCCGAGAGGAGAATGGGGAAGGGATTGTGGCATGGCCATCCTCCCTGGGGGTTGATTTCTCACTTTCTGTCTCTCTCTGTCTCTCTGGCAAGCACACGCACCCTATAGCAAAAACCTCTCCAAAAAAAAAAAGAAAAAGAAATGAGAGTCCAGAATTCAGAGATGAACTGAATATTTTAGAACTGAATTAAACAATTAAATAAAACATTTACAGAATAGAAAGACACTGTGACCTCTACATGTCAGAACTGTGTTGAAAGACCTACAGTTCTCCAAGGCCCACGGAAATAGTATTATGCCAAGAGAAACAGTCTTAGAGATATTCCTGTTCTAATACAAGTTCACATACCAATCTCTCGCTCCCACATTAAAATGGTCTATTTTTGATGTTGCTCAAAACAAAATGAAAGGGAAATAAACCTCACGGCACTTTGTAGAGACAGGAATTGAAAGTGCAAGGAGACGGTTTCATTTTGCGGGGGAGAACCCTGATAAAGAGGAACTCTCTCTTTTAAACAAATTTAGTGGAGAAAGGGAAATGTCAGTCAGCACGACACTTAAGGGAAAGGTTTGATTGATTCATTCATTCATTTTGTAGGGAGAATGCTTTAACCATGACTCAGGGTGAATTGTTTTTCCAGAATTATTTATTTTTTTTAAAGTATTATTAGTTTACATTTGCTGTAGGGCAATGTGCTCAGCAGAGAGAGACAGAAAAAGAGAAGGGGGCGGAGGGAAGAGTGAGAAAGCAAGCCACCAGGTCCAGGACTCAAACTGTGGTTAGCCATATAGGAGTCCAATGCCCTAACCACTATACCACCTGCTGGCCCCCAGGATGGATTTGTTTTATAGTGAAGTAGCAAATTGAAATTAAATGTATCCACTACAAATAAAATCTTGGCCTCTTCTTAAATGCATATATTAATCACAGCCCACAATTTTATATTCTGATTAGATAAAAAAAATTTTTTTGTACAAAAGTCAAACAACGCTAAAATGTGTAAAGTAAAAATGTGGGCCAGCTGGTGGCATGGTGGTTAAGGCAGCTGGATTCCAGCTGTAGCCAACTGGTTTGAGACTCAGACCTAACAGTTTCCAAAACACACAGAGCACATGCACATGCATATGCACATACATCTGCACCCCCAAAATCCCCAAAGGAGGGGGAAGCTGAGGAAACGGGGCTGTGGTCATGCCCTATGGGGGTGTACTTAGGACTCAAACTGTGGTTAGCCATATAGGAGTCCAATGCCCTAACCACTATACCACCTGCTGGCCCCCAGGATGGATTTGTTTTATAGTGAAGTAGCAAATTGAAATTAAATGTATCCACTACAAATAAAATCTTGGCCTCTTCTTAAATGCATATATTAATCACAGCCCACAATTTTATATTCTGATTAGATAAAAAAAATTTTTTTGTACAAAAGTCAAACAACGCTAAAATGTGTAAAGTAAAAATGTGGGCCAGCTGGTGGCATGGTGGTTAAGGCAGCTGGATTCCAGCTGTAGCCAACTGGTTTGAGACTCAGACCTAACAGTTTCCAAAACACACAGAGCACATGCACATGCATATGCACATACATCTGCACCCCCAAAATCCCCAAAGGAGGGGGAAGCTGAGGAAACGGGGCTGTGGTCATGCCCTATGGGGGTGTACTTTCTCACTTTCCCTCTGTTTCGCTCTGGCAAGTGCACATGCTTTTTTGGAAAAAAAAGTCATAATCCCACTTCTCAGAATAACTGTTATTAAGTTGTATTATATTAATCATAATTGTTATTCAGGTTAGACATGTAAATAGTTTGCAATTATGCTGTACAGACTGCTCTGCATCTTACTTTTACCTAACAATAAACATATTTCCATGCTAGGAGATTCTATTTCCCTTTCAGGTCATTCCTTCAAATAGTACATACATTTCATTGGTTTACTGAACCATAACCAATCTTGTATTAAGGGTCATGTAAATTATTTCCAAGTTGTTTTTTTTTTTGTACCACAAACATTGTCTCAATGAGCATCTTTGTATACATACATTTGTGCGATTTTTCATAAGTGGAGCCAAACACATTATATTTTTATTAAATTATATCATTGCCTTCCAAAAGGGTTGCATAAATTACTCTTTTCATCAAAATGGGATGCTAGCGATGTTTTGAATTTAGTCCATAGGGTAGGAGAAAAATTACAGCTCATTGTTACAAGTTGTATTAATGATGTTGAGAATCTGTATGTATGTGTATTGATTATTTTTATTTCTATGCCTAAAAATTGCCAGTTTGCCAGCCTATATTTCTGGCTCATTTGTCTTTTTTAAAATAATTTTCTCAACGATTCCTAAGCATTCTTTAATCTAGAGAAATCATTTCCCCAGTGGGTGCCCATTTGTCCTCTGAGCCACTCCTCTCTTTCTCCTGAGTGTATGCATGGGAAAGGGGAGGGACGTGTGGGGCACTGACCCCTCACACTGTTTTCCCAGTCAGTTGGCTTCCACTGGAGGAAGATTAGAGAGTTGGAAAGCAGATGCCTACTTACTAACCCCTAGAATCTATGAGCGTGTTATGTTATACTGCAAAGGGGAATTGGGTTGCAGAGAGAATTATGCTTGCACATCAGCTAACCTCAAAATAAGATGGCACTGGATTTTGCAGATGGACCCAGTGTAATCATAGAACACCTAAAGAGTGAGAGAGAGCCAGACCAGAACTAGAGAAGTGATATTGTGAGAAGGACTCCCCGCCCATTGCTGGCCTTGAAGATGGAGGAAAGAGACCAGGACACAACTAGTGGCCTCAAGAGGCTGGAAAAGTCAAGAACTCTAATTCTCCCCTAGAGTCTCCAGAAAGAAATGCAGCCCTGCATCTTGTTTTTAGCTTAATGAGGCTCATTTCAGATTTTTGATTTCCAGAACCATGAAATAATTGATGTGTGTTGTTTCAAGCCACCTAGAAGGTAAAAATTTGTTGTAGCTGCAGTAGGAATTAACACAGGGCAAGAGGAACGGAGAAGCAAAGACATTCCTCTCTACCCTCATCCCTGTTTCCCGCAGTGTCTCCAGCACACACTGCATAGTCCCCTTGGCTTCTGCTCCCGTCAAAGAGGTCTGATTGGCTTTAGCTTCAGCTGGCTCCTGAGCTCTGGGACTAGCTCTGCCCTTTCAGCTTAGAGGTGAAGATGTTACCTGTTGCTGAAATTTCTAGGCTACACATCCTACCTTTCTTGGTTTCTTGGCTCTTCCATCATCTCTGAAAACATTTCTTATATTAGATTCTATTTCAAATATTTAGAATGATTTCTTTTTCCTAGTTGGATCCTACCTGATACAGCCAGTCAAAATGTTGCAAATATGTTTTCTCAATTGGACATTTGTTTTTGAACATTTTGTGGTGTTTTTATGCCATTCAGAAAGTTTAAATTTGCATATAGTTAAACAATCTGCATTTTATGCTATGTTGAAAGGTCTTTTCTCTTCCAAAACTAAAAAAATAAATAGCTTATCACTTTACCTAGCTTAACCAATTTTTTACTGATAAGTAATATATAATCATGCAGGGCCAGCAGGTGGCATGATGGTTAAAGCATTGGACTCCCACCTGATCAAATGCAGTTCAAGTCTTGGACCTGGCAGCTTGAAACTAATGCCAGGTGCAGGTGCATGCATGCCCAAAATTCCAGGAGGAGAATGTACAATTATGGACTGGCTAGCACTCTTGAAGAGTGATTTCTCACTTTCCCCTCGTTAGTTCTCTCTGTCTCTGACAAGTGAGTGCATGCGCCCTATGGCAAAAACCTAAATATGTAAATAGATAGACAGATGTAAATAGATAGACAGATATAAAATCTCATATACACATAAGTGTATAGCTTGCTGAATTTTCACACACTATAATAGTCATGTTGGGATTTCATTATTTACATTTCAAGTTGTGGATTATCTATATTTGATTTTGGTGGGCATGGAGTAACATTGCAATTCAGGTTGGTTTGTTTTTCTTTCAATGATGAGTTTTTTATAATGTTCATAAACAGTAATCCAGGGCCCATGGTCTCGTGGTTAAGCCCACTGGATCTCACAGGGTCAACTGCACAGTTTGAATCTCTAAAACAGTGGCTTGAGAAGCACACCACATGTTTGGACATATGTGTGCCCAAAATCCTGAGAAGAGGGAAAGCTCGAGAAGAAGGAATTGCAGCATTAATACAGGCCACAGGGAGTGCTTTCTCGCTTTCTCTTTCTCTCACACACAAATCAGAAAAAAATGTAAAAAATTTAAAAAAGAAAACAATAGTCCATTTTTCTCCTATGGATTTAAAGTGCTGTCTTTATAATTAATACAATTGGTGAATTTTTAGGTGCTGATCTATTTTTATGTTTGTATTTTACTATTTTATAATGTTTTAAATAAAATTGTGCTAAACCATCTCCTCCCATTGCTCATGTTCAGATTATAAACTTTTTTTTAAGTGGTTAGAATTACAGAAGGCCCTTGCCTCTGCAAAAAAATAGTCGGGAACCAGCAATTAGCGTAATGGCTATGTCACTGGACTCCCACGTAGTCGACCGCGGTTCGCGTCCCAGACCCGGTGGCTTAAAACTCATCCCAGGCGCGTGTGCGTGTGTGCCCAAGATCCCAAGGGGAGAATGGAGGAGAAGGAATTGCGGCGTGACCATCCGCCCTGGGGGGTGATTTCTCACTTTCTGTCTCTGTGTCGCTCTCTGTCTGGTGAGAGCACACGCCCTAAACCTCTCCAAAAAAAAAAAAAAAAGAGTGAGTCAATATCAAAGAAATCCTGGGCCAGGTAGCAGAGTTTAAAAATTGTTTCATGTAATTCTGTGCAGATGTGTATCATTCTATTGCCAGCTGGCCTAGGACCTGGCACAGGTAATTATTCAGTAAATAAGTGGTTTCCAAGCTCAGCTAAGCATTAAAACTATACCAAACATATATTTTGGCCAAATTCTAACTGAGTGTTCGTTGAAACTTATGATTAGAGATGGTTATTACTATCATATTAGGTTGTCGGAAAAATCATAACGTATTTTTCTGTTCTTAACTAAAGCAATATCTCCACAGATTCAAATAGAAATTGTCCTCTAGGAACCTTTTTTTTTTTTTTTTTTTTTTTTTAGTTTTTGTTGTAGGGCTTGTTCACTCAGCAGAGAGACACAGAGAGGGGAAATGAGAAAACACCTCCTTGGGGAGATAACCAGGCAAGGCAACAATTCCCTATCCTCCTATTTCCTTTTGGGACTTTGGGTCATACACATGCACTTTGTGTGATTTTTAAGCCACTGGGTGCGCAACTTTAACCACACAGCCGGCCATGTGGGATCCAGAACTTTAACCTCTACGCCATCTGCTGGCCCCTCAGAACATTCTTTTAAAAGTGTTCTGTTAGATTAGTGAGCAATTGTGTTGCTGTTTCTCCTTTTTTTTTTTTTCTCACTAGCTTTTATTTTATTCATTTATTATGTCTTTACAATGTCTGGACAAAATAAATTTTTTCAGATGAAACTAACTTAACATAGATATTATATATAATTTTGAATATTTTCCCTCCCATGAAATGTGGAAATGTTAGAACTGATATCCTGCCTTTAATTTATCACCACACAATAGAAAGAATTCCTAAATAAGATATTCATTGAAAGATTGTTTAATGCTTAAAAAGCTAAAAATAAAATATAGTATTTAATTCTTTTTTTGAAATTCTTTGTGTGTATGTATGCGTATGCTATGGGGCACTTGGACTCACTAGAGAGACAGACAGAAAGACAGAAACCAAGAAATTACCCCTGAAGAGGGTTAGGCTTGCCACAATCTCTTCTCCTCATTCTCCTCTCAGGATTTTGGGCATGCACGCACACTCACCTGATGTGAGTTTCCAGCTGCCAGTACTGGGACTTGAACTGTGGTTGACCATGTGGGAGTCCAGTGCCTTAACCATTACTCCACCCACTGGCCCCGAATCTTATTTTTTTTAAGAGCAATGAATGGTTATTTCCAGCACCTCTACAAAAATTCAAATTAGAGAAAACAATCTATTTTTCGTCTTTGTATTGTTATTTAAAACTATCTATTGGCCCTCCCCAAAAAACTGTTCTTTTCCCAAACTCTTTCTCAATATTTATTTTTACTCTTAATATAGATCAGCCTCTAGGGGCCACCCGCACTCCTTGGCTCCTGGCTCCTTTATCCTAAAAGTTGATAATTTTGCTCTCTGATCATTCTTCTGTGGTTCTTTCTCTCTCTGACTGCCTCTCCTATCCTGCTTGCTTCTTTCCACTCTTTTTTCTTATTTATGATCCAGTGGTGCACAGAGTAAAGAGAGAAAAAGAGAGCTGGGGATGGAGTTTCCTCCACAGGGTCAAGTCATGCCTCCATCCTCCTCTTCCAGTCCTCCAGCTCTTTGGATCCTGGAACCTGTGTGCATGACCAGCACATTCCAGGCCAACCAGACCAAGGGTTCCACCTGAACTGCAGTGGCATGCAGCCTCCAGCAGTGAGGCTTGCCATGCTACTCCCTGGGCCACCACAACGGGATCCCTCGTTCCACTCACAGGGACTTTTGTAACTATATTGGGCTCACTTGAATAATGTAGGTTTCTATACCTGTTTAAAAATTAATTGACTTGTAACATAATTCCATTTTTTAAAAAAATAATTATTTTAAAATATTCATTTCTTTATTTTAATTTGACCAGAGAGGGACAGATAGAGAAAGAGAAAGTGAGAAAGCAAGCCACTGTGACTCCAACCGCAGTTGGCCAAATGGGAGTCCAGCACCCTTAACCACCATGCCACCTGCCAACCCAACATAATTCCATTTTAATTCTCTTCCATTGTATAATGTAGTACATTCACAGGTTCCAGAGATTAGGACAAGGACATTTGACCGAGCTATTTTTCTGCCTACAATAGCACATATATTTATGCACATTTTACAAATCATGATTCAGTTGCAGAGAACATACTCTCCTCCAGTTAGGTTCAATATAAAAGAAATTATTCCAATGGCATCAGAACTGTTGACTGAATAACTAACTAGATCGAAGCTTCCAGGAGACCCTCCTAACGAAGGTGATGTGGGGAGCCGTGTGCTTGTGCAGTGGTGGGAAAGGGCTGGGGTTCAAGTTCTGGGACCTCTCTGAGCACACTGAACGAGTACACATGCCTGTGGTCCAGACCGACTCGGGACAGATATGACATGGATACTCTGTCGGGGATGCCTGTCTTTCTCTGCATGACTTTCTCATGGAATAAATAAGTACATTTAAACAAAATATAAAGAAGGTAGTGCAGAACTAAGCTGCCAGAGAGTTGACACTCCTGCTCTAATAAAATGTCCGTGGAATCTGGAAGCTGTGTGTAGTCTCAAAACCCAGTACTGGGAACCAGCAGTTAGCGTAATGGCTATGTCGCTGGACTCCCACTAGTCGATGGCGGTTCGCGTCCCGGACGCGGTGGCTTAAAACTCACGCCGGGTGCATGTGCGTGCGTGCCCAAGATCCCGAGAGGAGAATGGAGGAGAAGGGATTGTGGCGTGACCATCCGCTCTGGGGGGTGATTTCTCGCTTTCTGTCTCTATGTCTCTCTCTGTCTGTCTGGCGAGCACACGCGCCCTATAGCGAAAAAAAAAACTCTCAAAAAAAAAAAGAAAAAAAACAAAAACAAAAAAACACCCAGTACTATGCTACTTCGTCCATGATCTACATCAGCAAAACAAATGCCTTTTGCCCTTTCTCTGTCCTTTCTTAGCTCAGTTTCAGAATCAAGTGTCATACAATTGTATCTGATTTGGGAAACCTAGATCATATCGGAACTCCAGTTGTAATCAAGTCTGGGAGATGTTATTTTTACCTCGTTAGCCTCTGCAATACAGGAAGGCATACAAGAAGGAAGTTGAAGTAGATATTAAAATATCTGCTAGAAAAAAGCATGCAGTATTTCTGGAAGGAAAACAGGAGACTGGTACAGTGGATGTTGCTGGACAAGGAAACTGGAGGATGACATGAAAAGGACACTTGATTTTTATTGTACGTCTTTTGTAACTTTAAATTGCAAATTACTAATTACCTTGAACATGTAGCATTTATTCATAACTAAACAATGTTTAAAACACTTTAGGGCAAAACAAAACCAAAGAAAACTAAAATAAAAATGGAAAGATCTGGGGCCAGTCGGTGGTGTGGTGGTTAAGGGTGCTGGACTCCCACATGTTCGACCACGATTCGAGTCCTGGACCTGGTGGCTTGCTTTCTAACTTTCTCTCTCTTCTACCCTCCCACTCCCTGTCAAATTAAAATAAGTAAAATGAATAAATAAAGTGAAATACAATAATTGTTAAAAAAGAAAAGATCTGCAGTGATTCTGATATAGTTGGTCCATAGACCGGCGTTTAGCAGCCACATTGATCAGTATTTATTGAAATAAGTATGTTTTCTATTTGGTTCAGTTGAGGAAGATCAGACTTAAGTGAAGTAATAATCAATAATTACTGGAATTTAGTTCTTATACCAGTAATTTATTACATTACGGTCATTATTCAAAGATTAGAAAATATTACTGGTACTTATTTTCTTTTTTAATTGCCAGAAGGCATATGTACTTGCCACAGAGAAAGAGAGAGACAGGCTGGAAAGCACTTCCACAATGGGGTGAGACCAAGACCTGATTACAACTGGATTTCCCATATGGTCTAGGTTTCCCAAATCACATACAAGTAGAGATACTTTTCTATCCTGTTGGGATTTGGGACATGTGCTCACACACACCTGGTGTTTTTCAAACCACTGGGGCCAGGATTCAAATCTGGTTGGCCATGTGGGATTTGGCTTCCTAACCACTAGGTTATGTGGCCAACCTTAGATTTTATTTTTTACTTTGCATTCTGTTCTAACTTGATATTTTTATGCATATTTTAATGAAAGTAGTTAGTAATAAAAACAATGTAAAACATTTTTTACTTTGAATTATCCATCTTTTGGGTAAGTTTATCCAATTGAACAGAACTTCCACAGCTAGGAACCACACCGCCACTGTTAGCACTTGCAAAGTTATAGGTATGCTGCCAAAGAGAACAACTCCATAAGCCAAGTCTTGCAAAATCAAACCTATCCAACTATGAAAACAATTTAAGGAGTGAATGTAATGCTGAGTCCGAAAACCTGGGAAAAGGGTTTATTTAAAGAAATGAGAGAGGGGCAGCTCTATGGCCTGGTGCTTAGGCTGCTGGACCCCACATGGCTGACCTCACAATTCAAGTCCCAGACCTAGTAGCTTGAGAAACATGCTGAGTGTGTGTGTGTGTGTGTGTGTGTGTGTGTGTGCAAAAAAAAAAAAAACAAAAACAAAAAAACACCCAGTACTATGCTACTTCGTCCATGATCTACATCAGCAAAACAAATGCCTTTTGCCCTTTCTCTGTCCTTTCTTAGCTCAGTTTCAGAATCAAGTGTCATACAATTGTATCTGATTTGGGAAACCTAGATCATATCGGAACTCCAGTTGTAATCAAGTCTGGGAGATGTTATTTTTAGCTCGTTAGCCTCTGCAATACAGGAAGGCATACAAGAAGGAAGTTGAAGTAGATATTAAAATATCTGCTAGAAAAAAGCATGCAGTATTTCTGGAAGGAAAACAGGAGACTGGTACAGTGGATGTTGCTGGACAAGGAAACTGGAGGATGACATGAAAAGGACACTTGATTTTTATTGTACGTCTTTTGTAACTTTAAATTGCAAATTACTAATTACCTTGAACATGTAGCATTTATTCATAACTAAACAATGTTTAAAACACTTTAGGGCAAAACAAAACCAAAGAAAACTAAAATAAAAATGGAAAGATCTGGGGCCAGTCGGTGGTGTGGTGGTTAAGGGTGCTGGACTCCCACATGTTCGACCACGATTCGAGTCCTGGACCTGGTGGCTTGCTTTCTAACTTTCTCTCTCTTCTACCCTCCCACTCCCTGTCAAATTAAAATAAGTAAAATGAATAAATAAAGTGAAATACAATAATTGTTAAAAAAGAAAAGATCTGCAGTGATTCTGATATAGTTGGTCCATAGACCGGCGTTTAGCAGCCACATTGATCAGTATTTATTGAAATAAGTATGTTTTCTATTTGGTTCAGTTGAGGAAGATCAGACTTAAGTGAAGTAATAATCAATAATTACTGGAATTTAGTTCTTATACCAGTAATTTATTACATTACGGTCATTATTCAAAGATTAGAAAATATTACTGGTACTTATTTTCTTTTTTAATTGCCAGAAGGCATATGTACTTGCCACAGAGAAAGAGAGAGACAGGCTGGAAAGCACTTCCACAATGGGGTGAGACCAAGACCTGATTACAACTGGATTTCCCATATGGTCTAGGTTTCCCAAATCACATACAAGTAGAGATACTTTTCTATCCTGTTGGGATTTGGGACATGTGCTCACACACACCTGGTGTTTTTCAAACCACTGGGGCCAGGATTCAAATCTGGTTGGCCATGTGGGATTTGGCTTCCTAACCACTAGGTTATGTGGCCAACCTTAGATTTTATTTTTTACTTTGCATTCTGTTCTAACTTGATATTTTTATGCATATTTTAATGAAAGTAGTTAGTAATAAAAACAATGTAAAACATTTTTTACTTTGAATTATCCATCTTTTGGGTAAGTTTATCCAATTGAACAGAACTTCCACAGCTAGGAACCACACCGCCACTGTTAGCACTTGCAAAGTTATAGGTATGCTGCCAAAGAGAACAACTCCATAAGCCAAGTCTTGCAAAATCAAACCTATCCAACTATGAAAACAATTTAAGGAGTGAATGTAATGCTGAGTCCGAAAACCTGGGAAAAGGGTTTATTTAAAGAAATGAGAGAGGGGCAGCTCTATGGCCTGGTGCTTAGGCTGCTGGACCCCACATGGCTGACCTCACAATTCAAGTCCCAGACCTAGTAGCTTGAGAAACATGCTGAGTGTGTGTGTGTGTGTGTGTGTGTGTGTGCGTGCATACCCACCCAAAATTCCAAAGGAGAGAGAAATAGAGGAGAAGAGATTTTGGTGTGACCATTCCCTATAGTGGGTGCTTTCTCCTCTTTGGGTCTCTCTCCCTGGCTAGTATACATGCCCTTTCTCAAAAAAAAAAAAAAAAAGAAGAAGAAAAAAATAAATGGGGACCAAAAGGGGGAATCCAGAGGAAGTTTTGTTTTGACTGGGGACAATTCTGAATTGATTTATGCAGAGTCTGGGTTGATAGTCAAAGATGCCCTTTCAAAGAGCAGTCAGTGGTCAGTTAAAATGGGGAAGTGAAATTTAAGTTATAGCAAGGGCAATGCTAGTGGGCACATGCTTTCAATTGCCAAACATATACATTATCATAAAGGTCTTCACTAACTCTGCCTTACAGTGGCTAAACCATGGCCAAGGTGCTAAGGTGCCTCTTAACAGTATAAAACAGAGCCTTCCAGTAGGAAATGAATAGGAATGGTAGATTAAGACCAGCCTCTGGCCTGGTGGTTAAGACGGTTGGATCCCATATGGCCCACTGCAAGATTTGAGTTCCATATTCTGTGGCTTGAAAATCATGCTTGGTGTCTAGTGTGAGTGTGCCAAAATCCCAACAGGAGGGAGAGTCAGTGAAGGAATTATGACTTGACATTCCCCACGAGGGGTGCTTTCTCATTTTCCTGCTCTGTCCATCTCTCTCCACTGAGTGCATATGCCCTCTGGCAAACTTAAAAAGAAGAAAGAAGAAAGAAAGAAAGAAAGAAAGAAAGAAAGAAAGAAAGAAAGAAAGAAAGAAAAAGAGAAAAAAGGAAAAGAAATGGTAACCTGAAGCTTTTTTTTTTTTTCCTCTTCAATTTGCCATAAGGCACGTGCACTTGCAGGAGTGAGAGGGAAAGCGAGAAAGCACCCCTCAGGGGAGATGGCCATGCTGCAGTCTCTTCTCTGGATCCTCTCAGGATTTTGAGCAAATGCACCTGACATGATTTTCAAACCAGCAGGTCTGGGACTGAAACTGCACAGTTGGCCACGTAAGATCTGACCACCTTAACCACCACTTACTAGCTGGCCAGGCCTGAAGCTTTCTAAGATACGTGTTTGGAATATAGCTCTAACTGCACTTGGGGTGTTGATTCTTCTGAGCATTTGTTGCTAAATTGGCCTGTGAACTCTCAGAGGCTAAAGGAGTAAACAGAAATAGTTTATTCAGTCCTTAAGTGACTACTGTGCTGCATCTTGATGAATATCTTATTTTTCCCTCCGTGACAGTTGGGAGATTTCCAAGAGGGTAGTTATTATTCTTTGTTGCTGATTCGGTGGTAGTCACAACACTTTGGAATTGAGTCATCAATTGATAGGAAATGGAGAGTGTAAATTTGTGTAAAACACTTAAAGTAGGTCCACTATGTCCCCCCCACACACACACACACACACGCACACACAAACTAGCTGTGGGAGCATTGGGTTCAAAAGTTAATCATGGCCAGTCAGATGGCATGATGGTTAAGGCAGCTAGATCCCACATTGCCAACCACATGGTTTGAGTCCCAGACCCTGTGACTTCCAAAGCATGTCAGGATACATGTGCATGTGTGCCCAAAATCCCTAGAAGGAATCGTGGAGAAGGGGTTGTGGGCGAGAAAGCACCCCTCAGGGGAGATGGCCATGCTGCAGTCTCTTCTCTGGATCCTCTCAGGATTTTGAGCAAATGCACCTGACATGATTTTCAAACCAGCAGGTCTGGGACTGAAACTGCACAGTTGGCCACGTAAGATCTGACCACCTTAACCACCACTTACTAGCTGGCCAGGCCTGAAGCTTTCTAAGATACGTGTTTGGAATATAGCTCTAACTGCACTTGGGGTGTTGATTCTTCTGAGCATTTGTTGCTAAATTGGCCTGTGAACTCTCAGAGGCTAAAGGAGTAAACAGAAATAGTTTATTCAGTCCTTAAGTGACTACTGTGCTGCATCTTGATGAATATCTTATTTTTCCCTCCGTGACAGTTGGGAGATTTCCAAGAGGGTAGTTATTATTCTTTGTTGCTGATTCGGTGGTAGTCACAACACTTTGGAATTGAGTCATCAATTGATAGGAAATGGAGAGTGTAAATTTGTGTAAAACACTTAAAGTAGGTCCACTATGTCCCCCCCACACACACACACACACACGCACACACAAACTAGCTGTGGGAGCATTGGGTTCAAAAGTTAATCATGGCCAGTCAGATGGCATGATGGTTAAGGCAGCTAGATCCCACATTGCCAACCACATGGTTTGAGTCCCAGACCCTGTGACTTCCAAAGCATGTCAGGATACATGTGCATGTGTGCCCAAAATCCCTAGAAGGAATCGTGGAGAAGGGGTTGTGGCATGGTCATTCTTCCGAGACGATGATTCCTCACCTTCCCTTTCTCTGCCTCTGTTTCTCTCTGGCTGATACATAGTAAGCGCTCTGTGTGTGCAAATAACTCCTGTGTGACTCAGGACTCACAATCGCTGTAGGTATCTGCCTTAAAGTTTACACAGACTGAGTCATACAACAGTTACCATTTCCCTGACACTAGCATGCTGTTCTATTTTTTGTTTTTCTTTTTAAGAATTACTTATTTAATTTTATTTATCATGACTATTATTATTTTAATTTGCTATTGGACACATGTGCTCACCAGAGAGAGACAGAGAGAGAAGGAAAGTAAGCAAAAACTAGAAAAAAAAAAAAAGTTAATCGCTGACTAGAACCAGGAAGAGTAGGCTCAGCTGCTCTCAGTCATGCCAATGAGTACCTGAAGAAATCTGCATAGGCCTGGGTGCTTCCCTGAAGAATTTGCTGGGTGTGGAGGAAGACATTGCTTCAAGCAGTGATCTGACCCATGACCAGAAACCTGACTTCAGCAAAGGACAAAGTTGCAGACACTGTCAGAGGCTATCTTCACCCATTTACTGAGAAAAACTGCAAAAACCAAAATAAGTCTACCTGTTTTTGGCCAAGGTGGACTCCAGACTTGTCCAAGAGGAGGAAGCCACTCTGGAACAGTGCATGAAGGTGGTTAGTGACTTTCCTGCGCCTATAATGTGAAAAGTAAAAGTGTCGCTTTGTTAATAAAGCCCCCTTTGAAGCTAGGATACCAGGAAATGTGGCTCTTGGCACCAAATGTCAAAATAATCCCATCGCTGGGATTTTCACTGTGCAGTGCAGTTTCACAATGTTGAAAGGCTCTCAAAACTGATTTCTGGATGTCTTTCTGAAGTTCTTTTTTTTTCTATTTTCTTTTTTTTAGAGGTTTTCGCTATAGGGCACATGCGCTCGCCAGAAAGACAGAGAGACAGAGAGACAGAAAGCGAGAAATCACCCACCAGGGGGGGATGGCCACACCACAATCCCTTCTCCTTCATTCTCCTCGTGGGATCTTGGGTACGCACGCACACGTGCCCAGCATGAGTTTAAACCACTGGGTCCGGGACTTGAACCATAGTCGAGTACATGGGAGTCCAGCAACATAGCTATTATGCTAACTGCTGGTCCCTTTCTGTTGTTATTTTACACAGAGATGTTCTGTTCTTTTCTGAGCCCCTAAGCCTGTCCTCATCTGCGTGAGGGAGATGGATGGAATGTGTTCGATCTAGAGCAGGGGAAGAACAGGCAGAAAGTTCATTGGATAAGAGCAGTGGTTCAATCCATTATTACTTCAAACAGGGGAGTGGAGTTAATTTTCCCAAATGACATTTTACAGCACATGCGCTCGCCAGAAAGACAGAGAGACAGAGAGACAGAAAGCGAGAAATCACCCACCAGGGGGGGATGGCCACACCACAATCCCTTCTCCTTCATTCTCCTCGTGGGATCTTGGGTACGCACGCACACGTGCCCAGCATGAGTTTAAACCACTGGGTCCGGGACTTGAACCATAGTCGAGTACATGGGAGTCCAGCAACATAGCTATTATGCTAACTGCTGGTCCCTTTCTGTTGTTATTTTACACAGAGATGTTCTGTTCTTTTCTGAGCCCCTAAGCCTGTCCTCATCTGCGTGAGGGAGATGGATGGAATGTGTTCGATCTAGAGCAGGGGAAGAACAGGCAGAAAGTTCATTGGATAAGAGCAGTGGTTCAATCCATTATTACTTCAAACAGGGGAGTGGAGTTAATTTTCCCAAATGACATTTTACACATACCTGTCAGAAAAGCAGAGCTGTTTGTGTTTGAAGGTACATCATTGGAATCCAGGAAGCCTCAAAATCTGGCTTCCCTAAATTTTGAAAATGATTACAATTGAGATTAGTTCCTTTAAAATACTAAATTGTTCTCCTTCACAAAACCCTATGCAATAATGACTGTGTTAAGCTGGAAATTATCCATGATTTAATGCCCCTTGCTATGAATTAGTTTAAATCAGATTTATATTTTTACAGTCATGAGTGTGTAAATGCACTAGAGGATGTGAATTTGATGAAATATAAGGAAAATAAAATCAGTTGTGAGACATAAGGCATTATGAGTTAGGGACCCATGAGACATAATGGAAAGTCTTGGGAAGGGACTTGAACACTGGTTTTGGTTAGAACGGTCAGAAAGTAGAATACCGTGACCATGCGGAGTGACTTATCACACTGCCTGTGTGACCTTGAGCAATTTACTTGATGTCTCTGTGTTTTGGTTTCCTTATTTATTACATGACCATAATTATAGTACATATTCTGTAGTGTTCTTTTGAAGATCAAGTGAGTTATTTTTTAAGCCTTGGCACACTGGTTGAAAGACAGTAAACACTCTGCGTGTGCAAAGAACCCTTGTGTGATTCAAGATTTGCAATTGTTAAGGTATCTCTACCTTAAAGTTCACACACGGAGTCATGCCACAGTTACCATTTCTCTGACACTAACATGTTGTTGTACTTTCTTTTTATAGAATTGATTATTTAATTTTATCACTATTATTATTATTATTTAAGTTGCTACAAGGCACATGTGCTCACCATAGAGAGACAGAGAGAGAAAGAGAGGGAAAGTGAGAAGGCTATTCACCAGGTCTGGGGTTTGAACCGTGGTCAGCCATGCGGAAGTCTAGCACCCTAACCACCGCACCACCCGCTGGCCCCAGCATATTGTTTTTTACTTTACTCAGACATAATGTATTAAAGCTGGTGTGAATCTTCATCAATACTATGCTAAAAACATCAATAGCTTTGTCATCAAAGACTAGCTCACTGAAAAGGAAATAATACAAGAATTTTTGAAGAAAAAGTGCGAAAGGGTTGCACATACAGAGTAAAAGCAGAAGAGTTAGTTATCAAAAAGTATCCCCGTGCAAGAAATAACCAAAATGTCTATTTTCCAGATTGAAGCAATAAATTAATTCAGGTGCTTTTATATGAGAAAACGCCAAAACAGATAAGAAACGTTGAAATACTGTGAGGTGATTGAGAAAACTCGCCCAAGATTTAGAGATGCTGTGGAGACCTACAACTTCTGCTTAGTCGGATTACTTTAACTGTACGCTCCATGCCAGTATTTCTGCAATCGAAATGTAGAAGTACAGAATTTCATTGCAGGCAACTACCAGTCTTAGAGTCAATGTTGGCCTTGACAAATGAAGTTCAGTCTATGCTTCAATACTATCTTTTATTGGACATTGGCTACTTCCTACCTTTAATCGGGAATTAGCTCCCTCCTGAGGCAAAGAAATATATCTTTAGATACATCTGAGCACTAGAGTTTCTTTATATTATTGGGTTGTGGTCTATCTTTTTAGGGCCTAACAGAGTAAGTCTAATCCTTTTTATGACCCGTTAATGTGAAGATAGGGGACAGTAGGTGGCAGGGTAGTTAAGGCAGTGGACTCCCCCATGATCAGCTGTAGGTTCAGTCCTGGAGATACAGAGAGACAGAAAACGAGAAATCCACCCCACCCCCACCCCCACCCCCGAGGGTGGCCACACTGCAGTCCTTTCTCCTCCATTCTCTTCTTGGGATTTGAGGCGCATGAACACATGCACCCAGCGTGAGTTTAAGCCATTGGGTTTGAGACTCAAAATGCAGCCCACTACATGGGAGCCCAGCAATGTAACCATGATACCATCTGATGGTCCCCCCAGCAGATATGTTTTAAGAACCTCTACTATTGTGACTGATCCTCATTCTAAAGTTTTCACCAAGCCTTTAAAATACATCAGATGCTCTAACCAGTGCAGAAGCAAAAAGGAAAAAAATTACCACCAACCATTCCAGACTCTCTACTTCCATACATGGGGCAACAATGTGAGCTCTTTAGGAAACCGCATCTCAGTCATCCTCTTCTGTAGTGTGGTGGGATGTGGTGGGATATGGGTTTCAAATGTGATTCATTTTGTTCCTGTCAAATGTCAAATTCAACTTTTAATGATCTTTTTCTTTTGGATTACAATTTATAACTGTCTGGGACCAACAGTTGGCGTAATGACTATGTCACTGGACTCCCATGTAGCTTACCGTGGCTTGAGTCCTGGACCTGGTGGCTTGAACTAACACTGAGTGTATGTGTCCCCAAGATCCCAAGAGGAGAATGGAGAAGGGACTGTGGCGTGGCCATACCCCCTGGGGGGTGATTTCTCATTTTCTTTCTCTCTGTCTCTCTCTGTCTTTCTGGCAAGCACATGTGCCTTATAGCAAAAACCTCTTTAAAAATACATAGAAACAATTTACTACTATCCGACCTACTCCTCTTCTCTTGGTGTTGCCATCTCAAAAATTTATAAACAGGTCTTCATTAATACAAAAATTTCTAATAAAATCAAGGGCAAGGAGAATTCTGTACCACATACTCCCTTTGTTTTGTTTTGTTTTCAATTTAATTGTTATTTATTTATTTATTTACTTATTTATTTTAATTTGACCAGAGAGGGACAGAGAGAGAGAGAGAGAGAAAGCAAGCTGTCAGGTCCAGGACTCAAACTCCTTTTATGCTACCTTTGACTTATATTCCAAATATAGGGAATATTTACAGGTACAACTGGACTTACAAATAAGGTAAATAAGGAGGGAAGTTTCTTTTATTTTTTTAAAGAATTGTTTTTAAATTTAACTTTATTTATTTTAATTTGACCACAGACAGTGAGAGAAAGAGAGAGACATACAGAGAGACAGTGAGAGAGAGAGAGAGAGATAAAGTGAGAAAGCAAGCCTCCAGGTTCAGGACTCGAACCACAGTCAGTCATGTGGGAGTCCGGCACCCTTAACCACCACGCCACCTGCTGGCCCCCAAGAGAGAAGTTTCAAAGGCACCATTGAGTTTTCCTAGTCGGCCGAAATGCATCTTCAACACAGTCCCAATGGCTTGGGTCTAAATGTACTTAAGATCTCCATCCCCCCATTAAAATGAGCTTATACAGAATTATATGAAATCCTGGTCTTATTTGGGTGTAAATTAATCAGTAAATCTTCTGACAACAGATTGGAAATACCCTGGCAAATTCCAATTACTTCAGCCTATTTTTGGACCCCAGATTTTTCCCCAGTAATATATGCTTACCTAAACTGACTTAGGAATTTTTAAATAATTTAATCTTTTAAATTATAAAACACAAAATTCACAGTGGCTAGCAGATCTCAGATGAGGAATAAAACAAGCGACAGAAAAATGAACACACACATCAGAGCCTCATTAATGGCAGCTCTGTAGACATTTTTAGAAATAAAAATGAAATACTAGAGAAGATTTTTCTCTATTTTTTTTTTTTTCAGATTTCTTGCCTAGAGCTCATGTGCTAGCCAGAAAGAGACAGAGAAAGGGAAAGTGAGAAATCATCCCCCCAAGAGGGATGGCCACACCACAATTCCTTCTCCACTCTCCTCGCTTGGGATTTTACACATGCATGCATATGTACCTGGTATGATTTTTCAAGCCACTAGGTCTGGCATTCAAACTGTAGTCAGCCATGTGGGAATCCAGTGCCTTAACCCATCACACTACCTGCAGGCCCCAAGTTAAAATATTTTATTTTAGGCCAGCATAGTTTTTACTATGATATAAAAACCTCATGGTATATATTTAGTAATAATGATCATCATATATAGAAATGCTTTTCTGCTCTTTTTTCATTTAACAAGAGATAGATATGTTATCAGTTTACTCTAATTATGTAAAAAAGCTTTCTTTTCCAACAAATTTTAGAAAGCATATCATGCTTGTTTTTCAAATATTTAAGAAAATGTAGATAAGATTTAACTATTATGTCACCAAAAATTAATAAATGCCCTTATATTATAAATTGATGTTTGGAAGTTTTACATTTTGCACTTATGATGAATTAACTACTCTTTTAAAAAACTTTTACTTATTTTTAATTTATGATAGAGAACACAAGGGAAAGCTTCCACTGCAATGGGCCCTGGTCACACCACAGTCTCCTTTCCTCCAGTGCTCCATCCTATCAGGATCTGGGCATATATACATGCGGTTTCCTAGCATGAAGCCAATGGCGCCATGTTGGATCTGGCTTCCTCTGCACAATGCCTAACTGCTATATCACAGGGTCTGCTCAGCTGCTCACTTTTTATTATTAATTTTTTTATACATGATCATAAAATTTGTAAGCACCACCTGACAAATGACACATTATGTGAATAGTCATGCCCAATTAAAGAAAAGGCCATGGTGACTATAATCCTTGTGATGGTCCTGTATTTAACTTTGTTTTTTTGAAGCAATTAATACATTTGGATGTGCTTTCTAGGAATAGGATTGGATGACTGCATCTTGAGAGGTTATCTGAGATTGATTTCTCATTTTCTTTCTCTCTGTCTCTCTCTGTCTTTCTGGCAAGCACATGTGCCTTATAGCAAAAACCTCTTTAAAAATACATAGAAACAATTTACTACTATCCGACCTACTCCTCTTCTCTTGGTGTTGCCATCTCAAAAATTTATAAACAGGTCTTCATTAATACAAAAATTTCTAATAAAATCAAGGGCAAGGAGAATTCTGTACCACATACTCCCTTTGTTTTGTTTTGTTTTCAATTTAATTGTTATTTATTTATTTATTTACTTATTTATTTTAATTTGACCAGAGAGGGACAGAGAGAGAGAGAGAGAGAAAGCAAGCTGTCAGGTCCAGGACTCAAACTCCTTTTATGCTACCTTTGACTTATATTCCAAATATAGGGAATATTTACAGGTACAACTGGACTTACAAATAAGGTAAATAAGGAGGGAAGTTTCTTTTATTTTTTTAAAGAATTGTTTTTAAATTTAACTTTATTTATTTTAATTTGACCACAGACAGTGAGAGAAAGAGAGAGACATACAGAGAGACAGTGAGAGAGAGAGAGAGAGATAAAGTGAGAAAGCAAGCCTCCAGGTTCAGGACTCGAACCACAGTCAGTCATGTGGGAGTCCGGCACCCTTAACCACCACGCCACCTGCTGGCCCCCAAGAGAGAAGTTTCAAAGGCACCATTGAGTTTTCCTAGTCGGCCGAAATGCATCTTCAACACAGTCCCAATGGCTTGGGTCTAAATGTACTTAAGATCTCCATCCCCCCATTAAAATGAGCTTATACAGAATTATATGAAATCCTGGTCTTATTTGGGTGTAAATTAATCAGTAAATCTTCTGACAACAGATTGGAAATACCCTGGCAAATTCCAATTACTTCAGCCTATTTTTGGACCCCAGATTTTTCCCCAGTAATATATGCTTACCTAAACTGACTTAGGAATTTTTAAATAATTTAATCTTTTAAATTATAAAACACAAAATTCACAGTGGCTAGCAGATCTCAGATGAGTAATAAAACAAGCGACAGAAAAATGAACACACACATCAGAGCCTCATTAATGGCAGCTCTGTAGACATTTTTAGAAATAAAAATGAAATACTAGAGAAGATTTTTCTCTATTTTTTTTTTTCAGATTTCTTGCCTAGAGCTCATGTGCTAGCCAGAAAGAGACAGAGAAAGGGAAAGTGAGAAATCATCCCCCCAAGAGGGATGGCCACACCACAATTCCTTCTCCACTCTCCTCGCTTGGGATTTTACACATGCATGCATATGTACCTGGTATGATTTTTCAAGCCACTAGGTCTGGCATTCAAACTGTAGTCAGCCATGTGGGAATCCAGTGCCTTAACCCATCACACTACCTGCAGGCCCCAAGTTAAAATATTTTATTTTAGGCCAGCATAGTTTTTACTATGATATAAAAACCTCATGGTATATATTTAGTAATAAT